AATGACTTGTTTGGAAGGAGTTAAGAAGGATATGAAGTATATGGATTTACATGTGCATGAAGTATTTGATCGTAAGAGATGGAGGAGGATTTTGGTTCATGTAACCGACCCCACTAATGGAATTCCAAATACTTCTTTTCTGTGATGAAGCATAGGCAAGCAAGGAATAGAATTGACTCTCTTCTCAATGAGCACCATGTTCTGCTTCGTACCCCTTCTGATATTGAGCAGGAGATCCTTGATTTTTATAAGTCTCTGTTAGGCTCTTGTTCTGGTTCTTTGCCTGGTGTTGATTTGGCTATTTTGAGGTCTGGTAAGCAGCTTTCTCCCTCTTCTAAGCATTTTTAAATTACTCCTGTTTCTTGTGATGAGATTGATCAGGCTCTTAAAGGTATATCTAATGATAAAGCTCTTAAAGGTATATCTAATGATAAATTCTTTAAGCATGCTTGGGAGTTTATTAAGTCTGATATTTATGCTGTTGTGCTTGAGTTCTTTGCCACTGGTGTGATGCCCCTTCAGTGGAATTGCACAACTGTTACCCTGGTGCCCAAAGTCCCTAATGCTTCTTATGTGAAAGATTTTAGACCCATTGCTTGTTGCTCTGTTCTTTATTAAATTTGTGTCTAAAATCATAACTGCAAGACTTGGGCGGGTTATTGGTGAGGTTGTGGATGATGCCCAGGCTTGTTTCATTCTTGGGAAGCATATTGGTGATAATATCCTTTTAGCCACTGAGTTAATAAAAGGTTACACTCACAAGTTCATCCCTCCTAGGTGCATGATTAAAGTGGACCTCAAAAAAGCCTATGATTCTATTAAGTGGGGTTTCCTTGAAGTAGTACTTTGTGAGCTTGGTTTTCCTAGCTTGTTTATTAAGTGGATTCTTGGGTGCATCACTACGGTCTCTTTTTCTATTCTCATCAATGGTGCTCCTTCGAAGCCTTTTAAAGCTAAGAAGGGCTTGAGGCAAGGTGATCCTTTGTCTCCCTTCTTATTTGCTATCAGCATGGAATATTTGTCCAGGTGCCTTCATGATTTGAGCTCTAATCCTAACTTCAATTTTCACCCAAGATGTGAAAACTTGTAGCTTACGCACCTTATGTTTGCTGATGACCTCTTATTGTTTGCTAGGGGTGACTTGACTTCGCTTGAGCTTTCGATGCAAGCCTTTATCAAATTCTCTTATGCTTCCGGTCTTTCTACTAATTTGGATAAAAGTGAGGCTTATTTTGGTGGAGTTTCTGATGATGAAAAGGCACTTTTTCTCCAAATCCTTGGCATGAGTGCTGGTTGTATTCCTTCCTGGTATTTAGGTGTGCCCCTTTTTTCAAAAAAGCTCTATGTTCTTCAATGTAGGCCCTTGGTTGCCAAAATAACTTCAAGGGTTGATAGTTGGGCGGTGAGGTTTTTGTCTGATGCTGGGCGGCTGCAGCTTATTCGGAGTGTCTTGTTTGGTATGCAAACCTATTGGTCTCAAATCTTCATTCTTCTTAAGAAAATCATAAAAGAGATTGAGGCTAGGTTTCGGTTCTTTTTGTGGTCAGGGAATTCTAATCCTACAGAAAAAGCTCTTGTGTCTTGGAAACAATTGTGTCTTCCTAAGGCAAGTGGAGGTTGGAATATTCTTGCTTTAGAGGATTGGAACATTGCTGCGGTTTGTAAGAATGTGTGGGACATTTGTAATAAGGCTGATAATCTTTGGGTGAGATGGGTTCATATCTATTATTTCCGGAATAAAGATATTTGGAATACATCTCTTCCTCAAAAATGATCATGGGTTTTAAAGAAGATCCTTAAGTGTAGAGAGGTTATTAAGAATTGTGGTGGATGGGATGTTGTGAAGCAAAATGGCAAAGTTCAAATCAAGAAGATCTATAGTTCATTAGACAACAAAGTCCCAAAGTGAGTTGGAAGAGGCTTGTGTGCAACAATAAAGCTTTTCCTAAGAGTATTTTCATTTTGTGGTTGGCTATCTTGAATAGGATGCTAACCAAAGATAGGTTGATTTCTTGGAGGATCAATTGTGATCCTGTGTGCTTGCTTTGTTTAAGCGAGCCCGAGAGTGTTCAACACCTTTTCTTAGGGTACCCTTATTCTAGCAATATTTGGAAGAAGGTGCTTGATTTGCTTCATATTAGTAAGTCTATTGAAAGCTTTCAATTGGAGGTTGATTGGGCCTTGAGATATTGTAGGAAAGCGGGTGAGAGGAAGAACTTATTCTTAATGTTTTTTGCTGAAACGGTCTATAGCATTTGGATTCAATGTAACTCAACCATGTTTAATGGTTCTTGTGTTGATGCTAATTCCGAGTTTCGAAATATTGTGTTTAGAGTTGCTTATAGATGCTTAGAAGGAGCTCGGAAATTTCTCATGATTTAATGTTAAGGGGCTGTTTAGCTGGTGGTTTAGTCTGCTTGTTGCTAGTTTGAGTTGCTGCTGTGGCTTATGTTGGGTTCTGTGCGAGTTGCTGCCTTTCTGTTTTCTGTTCTGTTGTCTACAGCTTGTGTGTCAGGTGCTGCTGGCTTTTGTGCTTATTTTTGGTTCTCTGCAGGTGTTGCTATTGCTTTGTGCTCTAGTGCTACTGTTCAGGTTCAGTGTGCTGGTTGTGCTTCTGCTGTTCTGTTCAGTGTGTTGTGTCTGCATGCTGTTGCTGTATGCTTGTTGTTTGCTTGCTGCATGCTGCTTGATGCTCGTTTGGGCTGTTGTTTCTGCTAGCTGTTGTTGTTGCCTTATGCCCTACTACTGCTGGTTTGCTTCAGCTTGCTGCTGCTGGTGTTCTGTTGCTGTGTGCTGCTGTTGCCTGGTGTTTGTGTTTATTAGGTTTGTTTTGTTTTGAAGTCTACAGGCAGGTTCTCAATTGTTTCAGGCTGTTGGTTTCTGGTTGTTGTTGTTGGTTTTTGGTTGCTGTTGCTGTTGTTGTTTTCTGCATTGTTGCTGTTGTGGCTGCTGCCTTATGCCTTGCTGTTGTTGTTCTGTTCTTGGCTGTTGCTGTTGCATTATTGTTGTTTCTTGGTGCTTGCTGTTGCCTTCTTGGTTCTTTGATGTTGCCTTGTTTTTTGTTTGGTTTTGGTGGCAGCTCCTAGTTGTTGGTGTTTTGGGCTTTGTCATTTCTTTTCTATTTTGTAGGCCCTTTTTTCTTGTAAGCTTTGTGTTTGTCGTTGTCCTGTTCCTTTGGTTTTGGGTAATCCTCCTAGAGGGTAACTCTTTTCCATTGAGTTCAGAAGGGTCGTGTTTGATCCAAGGTTCTATGGAACCCTTCCTAGAAGGTGGCCTTTGGATCTTGGTCCTTGGCCGGTGTTCATTTGCCTTTAGGGGCTCTCGGTGTATTGGAGTTTAGGCCTTTGGGCTTTTGCATTCATGTTTGCTGCTTTGTAGCTCCTTTTGGTAATAATATTCTCTATTTACCAAAAAAAAAGGCTTAGATTTATTGATTGATTGATTGATTGATTGATCTTTTAAAGTCCTTTATTTTAAAATAACAACATTTAAACATAATGACCCTAATAATAGTGGTCCATACTATTTTGGAAAAATACACTTTAATAATCCCAACTATCGGCGATTTACTTTTAATAATCCTAACTAAGCTTTATTATCTAATAATCCCAACTATGCTATGTGTTTGCCTCCAATGGTCCCAATGACCGGTAACCTGTTGAAGGGGTAAATTTTTAATTTTTTACATTTTTAAAAGCCACTTGTCAGCACGCGATTGGTTTCAAATTAAAATAAAATCTAAGAAAATTAAAAAAAAAAAAAATTCCAGAAACCCAACCCCTAAAACCACCAGCCACGATCTATCCCACCAGGCCACCACCTAAGCCAGCCACGCAACCCAGACGCAACCCCTCACTCACTGCAACCATAAGCTGCAAACTCACCACAGGCGCAACCCCTCACTCACCGCACCAACCCACGCAACCCCTCAACATCACCAACCACAACAACCTCCAACTCCGCCACCAACAACCCGAATTTCAGCCGTAATCGAACACCAATTCGCTGCTCACCAACGGTAACCCCTGCTCGCCGCCTGACACCGCAACAACCAAGGAATTCCGGCCAACAGCAGCAATAGCGATCGTTGGTAGACCTCTCATTCTTCCCTTTCACTGCCGGCGATCGCAATTTGCTCTGTTCTTGCGGGTTGTTGTTGATTGTTGAGGTTGGCGTTGAAGAGAATTGCAGGGCTAGTTCAGTTGTTGGGTTTCGTTGCAATTGTGGCAAGAAGGTAGGCGGTGGAGTAGGTTGGAATTAGTGGTGAGGGGATTATGGGGCTGATGTTGGTGATGGTGTACAGGTTCAGTGTGTGGCTAGCTGTGCGGTTTCGGGGGTCGAGGGTAGGTTAGATGGGGTGGCCGACCGGTTTCGGTGGTTAAGGGGGGTGGTCGGCCGCTTGCCGGCGTGTTTATGGGTGCTGTTAGGGTTTGGTGGTGGGGGAAGGTGGCTGAATTTTGGGTTATTTTTTTTTTAATTTTTTTAAAATTTTTTGGATCAATCAAGTGTTGACACGTGTCATGGTAACCTGTTATAACAGGTCGTTGACTTGATGTTGATAGGTTGGGACTACTGGAGGCAAAAACATAGCATAGTTGGGATAATTAGATAATAAACCTTAATTAAGATTATTAAAAGTAAACCACCAATAGTTGGGATTATTAAAGTTTATTTTTCCTACTAATTTATTACAAACCAAGTTTATTAAAGAGTTTGGCCTGAATAGAACTACAATTCACAACTCAGTGTTACCAACATTAATTTTGTAAAAATCATAAACCTATACACTTTAAGCAAATTAACCCAATAAATCAACTAAAAACCCTCTAATAGAATGCTAAAAAAACAAAACGTTTGAATATTACCTTCTCTCTCATCACTCTAGAAATTTCAAAAATCCAAAATCAATTCCTTATTGGTTGATCTTGTCGACGTGGCCAATCCATCAACGGTCTATACCGGCCCACCTTATCCTACCCATAATCGTAAAATAAATCATCAAAAAACACCCGCAATTCATTCTAACATTTTCTCATTTAATCGTCCCAAAAATAAGTTTAAATCATCGTTGTTAAAGTTAATTTAAATAAACTTGTTACAATGGCGCTACAGGCTGCATCTTTGGTACCCTCTTCTGTCTCATTTCATAAAGAAGTAAGCTCACAATTTTCATCATTATTTTTTTGTTTAATTAATTTGTTTTCATAATATTAATGTTTTTAGTATATTATGATTTTATTGGTTTGGTTTGATATCAGGGTAAATGCATTGGTTTTAAAGAGACATCCTTTTTTGGAGTTTCATTCTCTGATCATTTGAAAGCTGAATTTTATGCTCCGTCATTGAGGATTAAGGTGAATTTTTATTGCTGTAATTTTTTGATTGAGTTTTGGTTTTTTTTTTTTTTTTTTTTTTTTTTTTTTTTTTTTTTTTTTTTGTCTTAGTTTCTATGTCATAGGGCGTCTGAATAGTGTAAACTGTAAAACGTTGCATCTCATAATGTACGGAATTACGTAGTTAGTATTAATTTAGACCAAAATTAAGTAATAAGTGTGTGTTTCCTTGTTGAAGTGTCGAGAATCGGACACAAGTGATTAATGTGAAATGAAGTTTTATCATATGTGGAGCAAGGAACTAACTACATATATACTAGTATAAAATTAAATATTACGAGGGTAAAACAAGACACATTATCTGGGCTTTGTTTGGTTTGAGATTAACTTTGTTTGTTGTCAACCTTGCTCATAGTTTGACTGATGGTCATGTATGTAATGTGTACTTTTACTTAAGAAGCTTGTGACTGATAATTAAACAAGTCTGTACCATGCTAGTGAAATATGCGCGAATGACAACCTTTTTATGTACGAATTTAGTAGACATGATCGAATTCAGTTTTACAACCATGCTGAACTTCGGTATAGCAAATCTTAGTGGTTTTGTAATGAGAAGTTGTTTGAGTTTGTTAAGTAGTCTTGGAATGTCTCTAGTATTCTCAACTTAGCGACTGTCAGTTAAAACTTCAGCATACAAGTTTTTATTAACTTGATAATTGATTATTAAATTTATTTGAGTACTTGATCCTACTTGGATATATAATAATTTATGGAGGATGTTATGGAGGAAATTACCAGAGTTTCCTAGATTTGAATGTTACTCAGAATGGTTGATGGACTTGTAGTTTGCTAAATACATAGTTTAATCTTGCGTTTATCCAAACTTGACATGTGATTCAGAAATCTTTAAACATGAACTATTATATTTGCTTCTGAAAAATCAAACATATTCATGTCTAGTAGATGTGCATGACATTATTCCAATACTACATATCAAATTACTCCCTCTGGAAATCCAGATATTATAAGTGGTAACTGGTAAGTTTTCATCTGCTGTTTAATTGGCTACATTGATATGTTATCATTGCTTGTCTTCTCTTTTGTTATTGGTCAATACCTCATTTTCTAGATAATGGTTGAATGATTGTTCCTCAATTTTGACACAAAATTCTTTCTTAACAGCAAGAATTGAGAAATGGAATGATTAAAGCTCAAACAGTGACAGCATCACCATCAGTCGACCAAGCTACCCTTGAAGGAAAGAAGACACTAAGAAAGGGAAATGTAGTTATTACAGGAGCCTCATCTGGGCTGGGCTTAGCCACGGCCAAGGCCCTCTCAACGATGGGAAATTGGCATGTAACCATGGCCTGTAGAGATTTCCTCAAAGCAGAGAAAGCAGCCATTAGAGTAGGTATGCCCAAAGGAAGCTACTCTGTCATGCACCTTGACCTTGCCTCCCTCGAAAGCATACGCCAATTTGTAGATAACTTTCGCCGTTCTGGTAAACCTCTTGATGTTTTGGTTTGCAATGCGGCTGTGTATTTGCCTACGGATAAAGAGCCTACCTTTACTGCTGATGGCTTTGAGCTTAGTGTTGGGACCAACCACCTTGGGCATTTTCTTTTATCAAGGTTGCTCATTGATGACCTGAAGCAGTCTGACTATCCATCAAAGCGTCTTATCATTGTTGGCTCTATCACAGGTAAAATACTGCAGTACTGTCTTACGGAGTAATTTATATCAGAAATTGGATACAAGACATGTTGCTGATATGTAATAATGTTGATTTTATAACAGGGAACTCAAATACAGTAGCTGGGAATGTTCCTCCAAAGGCAAACCTTGGAGATCTGAGGGGACTTGCCGGAGGGCTGAATGGGGTAAACACCTCATCAATGATTGATGGAGGTGAATTTGATGGTGCTAAGGCCTACAAAGACAGCAAAGTTTGCAACATGCTCACTATGCAAGAGTTCCACAGGCGGTTCCATGAAGAAACTGGAATTACTTTTGCATCACTCTACCCTGGATGTATTGCTGAGACTGGTCTGTTCAGGAATCATGTTGCGTTGTTCAGAACTCTTTTCCCACCCTTCCAGAAATACATTACAAAAGGTTATGTTTCTGAGGAGGAGGCTGGAAATAGGCTTGCACAGGTGAGTTTAGATCATATAGTATGTTATCACAATACAAGATATTGAAACTTGTATGAGTTGTACCCCAGTAGCTGAACTGTTAAATATTTTGTTAACAGGTGGTCAGTGATCCGAGTTTGACGAAATCAGGGGTTTACTGGAGCTGGAACAAGAATTCAAAATCTTTTGAAAATGAGCTGTCAAAGGAAGCTAGTGATGAAGAGAAAGCAAAAAAATTGTGGGAGGTTAGCGAAAAACTTGTTGGATTGGCTTAGGAATGTTTTATATATTACTGCATCCAGCAGCCAAGTATCCAACAGTTATGTTTTCAATAGAGTGATAGGATAAGTAGTGCAAAGGTAATGTAGAATTGAAGGAAACAGTGCAGTGTATAAATCAGAAAATATATCATTCTATGCTTCGCATGATTGCATTCATCTTGTATCTCATCCTGGGTGGTATTGTTATTTCTGATTTCTATATTGGTTAATCTTAATTGTTAGTATTGGCTACTGACTTTCATCTTGTTTCCTTCTGTTATGTAAACTGTGAATTGGTTACTGATTTGGGTAAAAATACCCAGGCTACGTGGTCCAACAGAAAGTAACACGTGTCACCCCAAGACTGGTCCAAAAACGACCAATCAGCAGCTAACACGTGGCATCCCCTATCATTAGGGAAATGGCGGCCTTCAAAGGCCCAAAACCCGAGGCGCTGTAAAACGGCGCAGCCCATTTACCTAGGTTGATAACCTAGGAAGAGGACGCTGATTCCCAATGCCCTATAATTAGGGATATTTACCCCATTTTTGGGGGCACCTTCATTTATTACATCAAATACAATTCTCTTACAACAAAGAAGTCACCTGATCTCGGGATCCGAGAAGATGTACTTTACTTTCCGCACTTTTACTCTCCTTCGACCCTTACTAACTTGATCGTCGGAGGTGGAATTCCGCACAACCGGAGCTTCTGTTTGTTTGCAGGTATAGCCGAAGAGGATGCAGTCTAGGTGACGTAACTCTCCCGCAGGACACATAAAAAACCCCAAAACAGTGACTACCCTCCAATACTTTGCGGACATGGATGATTGTCACCTAGCAGCTTTTATGCATTTTCAAATTGGTTGCAAAAACTATATTTTTTCAAAAGAACTGATATAAAAGAAGTCTGTCGTAGGAGGCGAACCTTTAAGGATTCCCTCTACATGCAAAATTAAGAAATTAGCAGGCCCTGATGGTTTTAATACGATTTTTCTCTGTATTTACTGTCAAGCCATGTAGTATCTTGATATGCATGTTTTTATCCTTAAATAGCTAGCTATTCTGCTGTTTACAGTGTGTTTAATATGCTATTTCTATGATCACCTTCCCTTGAAAGCCAGACACTTGAAAGCCTATTCTTGTTCATTACTGAAGCTCATATAAAAAAGAACTGAAGTAACAGTTAGAGAATAGACGCTTGTGAATTCATTATGATTCCCACAATTAAATAATTTACAGCTTTACACTTTAATTTACTGATTTCAAATATCAGAAGTCAGTCTCTAGTCAGCAACCTGTCCAGCATAGCCTATGTTTCGGTTTCATCAATTCAAGGCCCCTTTTGTTCAGTGCAGAGACTGATTAGGGTCACGCAGATAGTAGCTTTTCCGCTATTAGAGGTGTGTACATCTTGACCTCTCAGTTACGACAATTGTGTATATCTTGACATTGCAGGTTCGATGATTGGTACATCTTGATCTTGCAGTTCCAAATGCGCTAGAGCTGCTAAAAGTGACCTATCTGATTGGTGTTTGTTTATCTTTAGAATGATTAAACGGTGGTTTTCGACCATTAATGAGTATAACTTGACTGACATACTGCCATTACCACCCCAATACTCCATACTTGCATCTGGTATGCTAACAGTGAAGTTAATACTAGATTCCTGGACACTGTAAATAACCAAGTTGCTGATACTTTAACAAGCCATTAGTTAATTCTCTCTTCCTTTTAGAAATTGCTATGACAAGTTACAATAGTAGTATAATATCTATGGAAGTACGTGCATGCACATGGTTACCAGTCATATTACTCCATTGACCTAAATAAAATAATTCAACAAAGGCAACTGGTTCATTTTCTTATAAAACTGTTCTCATTATTATTTTAAATCTATGCAAGTTGTATCAATATTCAATATTATAAACGCCTATCTTTTGGAACTATTTTTAAAATTAGTACTGCATCTTTCATCAGCAGTTGCAGGCATATTACATGGATTATATTTTAAAAATACACATTCATGTCCAACAACAAAAGTAACATAAAAATAATATTAACACAGAAAATAAAAACTTGTTCATCCTCTAAAATATCTTATACAACACAGAGCTGCTACCGAAAGGAACATCTATTAAGCTTTGTAATTGCAGCTTGTTCGTCTTTGCCAATCCCTGCATTTCAGAAGGCAATTGCTGAGCCTGCTGAAAGGAGATATGGGGTTGGACAATGAAAGTTCAGATATGTCTAACATTGATCTGGGAAGTAAAAACAAGTACAAAAGGATGGATGCTGAAGTTGGAGCGCCTGATAGTGATTCTTCAAGCAACTATCAGGAGAAGGATATCACAAAGAGTACCAGAAATTATGTTATGGCTTGTGCCTTTTTTGCTTCTGTCAACTCCATTCTCCTTGGCTACGGTATGTAACCTTTGCAGATGTTTGACTTAGATGGTTCAACTATATAGTTATTAAGATTTGGATAGTTTTCTTCGGTATGGCTGTTGGACATATCGGAATCCTGGTTATGCAAACTCATCAATCTAGTCTAGTAATTAAACATGAATAATCTGACTTCACAAAATTTTCATATATTTCATTGCAATTTTTTTGTAAATAATCCCAGTCCTAAGCTTTTAAGCACCCAATTTCTGTATGTTGATGAAGAGATCTCGAATACCTTATGGTGCTGGTGACAGCAGCAGACTAATAGATTACTGTACGGTATATGACTGATTTGTGGCTATTGAGATAACTAAACTGAAACGATTCATGATCCTTCATCTTGATTTGGATCTTATTATTGATAACGGATAGGAATGAAAAGACACAGTATCCATAATTTCGTAAAAAGATGCAAGTGATCAACTGGTATAAATTTTCAAGAACAATTTTTTTAGATTCCCTAATATCAACATCTGCCAGTGTTTTTGTTCTGGACTAAGCTGAATAGGTTTCTGGATCTCTTTTCTTTTCACCGAAACTTGACTGTGTAAAAATTATCAGAGTAATAACACGCTTTTAATGCAATATAAATCAACAAACTTATATTAGTGAGGAACACAGGTTGGACTTTCCCTCAAATCATGTCTAGAAAACGGCAGCAATTTATTTCCTTGGCTGTTTTAGTTTTTCTGTCTGTAAATCGAAGTCATATCAGGTGAGGCCCTTTGTTTATGCAGATGTTGGTGTGATGAGCGGAGCAATCATATTTATCCAGGAAGAATTGAAGATAACTGATGTGCAACAAGAAGTACTAGTAGGATGTTTAAGCATTGTTTCACTGATTGGTAGCCTTGCAGGAGGAAGAACATCAGATGCTATCGGAAGGAAATGGACGATGGCTATAGGAGCAATCATATTTCAATTAGGAGGTTTAATAATGACAATTGCTTATTCCTTCCGAATTCTAATGGTTGGAAGGCTCCTATCAGGAATTGGTATTGGGTTTGGAGCAACCATCATGGGTGTTTACATAGCTGAGATATCACCTGCTATTTCAAGAGGATTTCTCACAACATTCCCTGAGATCTGCATTAACATCGGAATTCTTCTTGGTTATGTCTCAAATTATGCATTTTCAGGTCTACCTGCAAATATTAACTGGAGGGTAATGCTTGCTTTAGGGATTCTTCCTTCTGTAATAATAGGCTTTGCACTCTTCATAATCCCGGAATCACCACGATGGCTTGTTCTTCAGAATAGAACTGATGAAGCAAGAACAATTTTAATGAACACAATAGGTGATGAAAAGGAAGTGGCAGAAAGACTTGATGATATCCTACAAACTGCGAGCAAAGCAAAATCCATGAACCTTGAAGAGAAAGCTGTTTGGCGTGAAATTGTAAGGCCTAGTCCAGCGGTTTATAAAATGCTTGCTGCAGGTGTTGGATTACAATGTTTCCAGCAAATTACAGGAATAGATGCTTTAGTTTATTACAGTCCAACGATTCTTAAGACAGCCGGGATTGAGGGTAACAGTCAGCTATTAGCAGCAACAGTTGCTGTAGGAGTTACTAAAACAGCTGCTATACTAGTTGCTCTTTTCCTAATTGACAGAGTGGGTAGGAAGCCGTTATTGTACACGAGCACAATTGGGATAACGGTTTGCTTATTCTGTATAACACTTAGTTTGCCATTCATGGGGAAAGGGCCAGTTGGGATTGCATTGGCAATATTATTTATTTGCGGTGATGTAGCCTTCTTCTCTGTAGGGATAGGTCCGATATGCTGGGTTTTGACTTCAGAGATTTATCCATTGCGGATACGAGCTCAAGCAGTTGCTGTTGGTTTTGCAGCTAACAGGGTTTGCAGTGGGCTTGTCAGCTTATCCTTCTTGTCTCTTTCCAGCGCTATTTCTGTGCCTGGAACTTTCTTCATCTTTTCTGCATTATCGGCAATTTCGGTTGTCTTTGTCCATAAGGTTATTCCAGAGACAAAAGGAAAGACACTGGAGGAAATCGAGTGTTTGTTCAATGAAAATGATAGATTGAAGGAGGGCCACGTAGAGCTTGCAGATACTGTGCGTTTAGTATCATAAACGATTGCTTCAACTTTTATCCATTGAAAGTGTGGTACTTAATTGTCTACGAGTGCACGTTCGAGTACTATTGGAGCAAATATGCTTGTAGACAGGGATATTTTTGAAGTTATGAGTACTATTGGAGTATTGGGTTAGGATTTAGAAGGGTAACTTATTGTTTTTGGAAACACAGTGAAATAGAGAATTACAGAAGGAAATAGTAATGATATTTGTAGGAGCAGTTTTGGTCAATTGTGAAAAGAAATCACTTGTATATTTCATTAGTGGTACTCCTGTTAAATCCTTACAGATGATCTCACAAGTGCAATTGTTATACACTGAGTTGCTTCTCTTTGCAATAACTCAGAAGACAAGTGAAGAGTTATGTACTCCTATATCATAATAATTGACAATTTGATATAATTCACTATTTTGGCCGTTTCAGAATAATTGACACATTTCTCTCTTTTAATGGTTTCAAACTATTTGACACACTTCCGTACTTGGATACGATATGCCATTATTGAAATGTTTTTATCTCACCTACGATGACCTACTTACTTTCCTCATTACATGTTCTTTCTTCTTACAAAATGAAATAATTTCACTCACTTCACTTTACATTTCACTCACCTACGATCTAACAAAATTTATACCGCTTGGCTACCCTAATACAAGTATAGGGGTAAATTAAGAGTTGAACCACTAGGGAATAGTGATACAAAGGTGCTCATTAAAGCCTAAGCTAAGTCAGAGTCGGTATGGATAGAGAAAACTAATACTAACCGACTAACATAGCAAACAATATGAAATAACGTTTACTAGAGCCAATATCCACATTGCACAATTAATAAGCAAAAAATATTCCAATTAACAATGACTTGATGTGACCTAATCCGCACCTAAACTTGATCAAATATAGTCAAAGTAAGCACATAAATAGTGCAAAAGTCCAAACGTGTCGATTATTACGAGACAGAGAGAGTACATTTTAATATAATATTAAATTGGCCCCACTTTTTTGTATGACTATCATTTATGGTGATCATTCTCGTTTTTTATCACCCTAGCATAAGTAGAACCAAGAAAAAAATTAAAATAAAAAGGCCATTATGTGTGTAACCTTGCCAACGAGTCAAAATAGTACTGGTAACATGGATTCATAACCAACAAGAGTTGGCTCAAGCGGTAAGCAGCTTGATATCGCTTAAGGGAGGTCTCAAGTTCGAGCCTCACCCCGAGAGTTGAGAGTGAGACAAAATAATACTGACATCCTACCACATTCCCGCCAACTCTCCGACTAAAACAAGATAGAGATTTGATTAAGTTTTATCCTCGTACTTACCAACATTTCAGATATCACTCTTGCTACTGTACATGCCATCAATGGAGCAGATTCAGCACAAACATGAGTCTAAAGCTTCACATATCTGAGATGGAACAGGTTTATGCATACCCTAAAACTGAATAAATTTTATATGATACTCGTAATCATAAAATTTCTGAGGATTTTGGTGGTTAATAATTTAATATAACCTGCCGGTCGGAAAGTAGTGCTCTTCCTGCATGGTTTTCCAGAAATTTGGTACTCGTGGAGACACCAAATGGTGGCTGTTGCTGAGGCTGGATATCGCGCAATTGCCATTGATTTTAGATGTTACGGTCTATCTGATCAGCCACCTGAGCTTGAAAAGACAACTGACTTTGTCGAGGATGTTGTAGGTGTACTCAACTTTTTGAGTATTGACAAGGAAACATTCTCTTTTTGTGACCGATTTGCACTTGCTCAAATGGCTCATACAGGGAAATCATTTTGCTGCAATTCGTTATTTTAACTACCTGAAATATAAGGTTCAGGATACACGATTTCCATTTCTTCCTCACACTAGTACTTGTAATTTCATCAAGTTCGTTTCTCCAAATCATTTAAGAATACTCGTGACAGCAAAATTTGTCTCGTCCAAATCTATGGATAAACTTTCCTAACCTGCAAATTGAGCAGTAAATCTCTGTTACTCACTGGAGAAACAAAATTGTTTCTCACGGTGGCAGTGGCAGTTTCGTAAATAAAATGTTCTACCGTGACTAAAGTGGTACAATTTTATAATCCACCGTGACTAAACTGCCATGGGGGCGCCCTCCAAATTGAGGCCAAAACATAGAGGATCAAACAGAAAAGATTTGAACTTTTGATCTTGTTTGTGTATTATCTGTAAAATCTCTGAAGTGCAGGCCTTTTACTTCAGTCCATTTGCGAATAAATCTAGAAGCTGAATACGGTGAGTGTATTCTAGTAATATTCATATGGAGCAGGTTTTCCTAGTGGGGAAGGACTTTGGAGCTATCATAGTGAGTCTAGTAGCCGTACTCCACCCTAAACGATTGTCTGGTTTCATAATCTTAGGAGTTCCTTTCATGCTACCTGGACCGACTGCTGTCAATTCAAATCATTTCCCTACAGGATTCTACGTCATACGGTGGAAGGTAACTAATCTATTCAATGTAGCAAATAATAACCATCCCATGCTTATTTATGTGACCGAAAATCTAGTTATTTCTTATAACAGGAGCCAGGGCAGAGGCAGATTTTGGTAGGTTTGACGTTAAGACAGTGATAAGAAATATCTACATACTGTTTTCAGGGAGCGAGCTTCCTGTAGCTGGAGATGATCAGGAAATAATGGACCTAGTTGCTCCAAGTGTTACACTACCCCCCTGACCAGGACCTTTCGACTTATGCAAAAATGTATGAAAATTCTGGATTCCGTACAGCCCTGCAAGTTCCATATAGGTAAATATGCATAACCCTAAAGTTTACCCCTGGTTCTAGCTCTGAAAAGGGCCTTCGACTAATGCAAGATTGTATGAAAATTCTAAATTCCTTACACCCCTGCAAGTTCCATATATGTAAATATGCATGACCCTTAAATTATACAACAAATGATCAGAAACTATTTAGTGATGGATTGAACAAGTATCAAAAACACTGAAAGGTTGGAGTACCATTAGCCCTACACTTATTCAAAAGCATCATACTTCTTTTGATTTGGGTGTTTCTACCCCACCACATGGACCAACCAGAGCGTGACACGTGTCACCCCAGGGAGAGCCCAAAGTGGACCAACCAAGCATCATACCAGGGCTAGACACGTGGCAAACAGATACCTCATATAGAATTGGCGGTCTTCAAGGCCCAATTCCCTAAACTGCCCTAAAACGGCGCAGCCCATTAGTTATAGGTTTCCGTAACCTAAGACAGGGGCACAAATCTCAAGGACCTTATAAATAGGTAAATTCCCCCCATTTTGGAGACACGTACAATCATTACATCATTAATTATTCTCGAAAACATAGAAAACACCTGATCTCGAAATCCGAGAAGATATTTACTTTTCCGCACTCTGTTACTTCGAATCTTTACTAAATTGACCGTCGGAGGCAGAACTCGGACCATTCGTGGTTTTGCAGGTACAGGTGACAGGAATCCAGTCTTGGTGACGTAACTTGATGAGTGACATTTATGTCGCTCTTAGGGTAGTCTTTTCTAGTAGTTTTAGTAATAATTCGATCCATTTTAGTATGTTTTTGCTATGATCCTCCTAGTTCGAGTATTCTACCTTTGTGATGCGTAATGTGTATTCATGTGGTTTAGGTAGTCTATACTCCCCTCCCCTTTCGTTGTATTACGCTTTGCCTTCCTGTTCCATGATTGTAGGTGTACGCCGTTGATTCGGAGATGGAAGGAACAAGGGCAAAATGGGAAGAATTCCAGACCAGACAAATGGCACGGGCGCGCCACCAGAGGAGCGAGCGCGCCACCTATAAGCGCGGGTGCGCCTCCCTTTAGCGCGGCCGCTGATGAGCTGGACCAACCATTAAATACCCACTTTGGAGCGGGTGCGCATCTCGAGGAGCGGCCGCGCCATCATTTAACGCGCGGGCGCGCCTGTCTGCTGCTGATTCAAATCCCGAATTCAGTCCAATCAACAAAAGGGAGGAAAAAACGGCTAACTTTGGACAAAATTCTATCATTAGGATACTTTAGCATAGAAACCTTGGAGGAGAGCTTTTGAGGAATTTTTCTAGGTTATTGTTTTAGCCACTTTTGTATTGAAGAATCTTGATAGTTTTTAGTGTAATTTCATTGCCCATCAACATTAGTTTCACTCTTAGTTTTTGAGGAAGTATTTTGCAACATTGATGTATGGTCAAGCTTGGAGATTGGATGATGTATGGTTCTTTATTTGGATTTCAATGAAGGTTTTGGTATATTTCTCTATTTTCTCTTGTTTTTATGATTAAAGTTTCTACCTTTGTTAGTTTAGTTGATAAAAACCTTGTCTTTCTTACTATTTCATTGGTTATAATGTTGCTTAGTATGATTGTAGTTGTAGTTATGGATAGTGAGTAGTTTCTTGTTGTTAGGGGGTTTGGTGAAGGTATGCTTTGAGTTTGATGTATGTTAGGCTAGGTTAATTTGGAATATTTGTGATTAAATCTTCCTTGTGCTTATACTTATTGACCACTCCATGTTTATGGCCATATGCATGTTGTGGTTGAATGACTTGAACTAAATCGTGATGATAGTATGATTTAGGAATAGTCATTAGGTGATTGATTATTGCATGACCTTAGCTTGTATGCCTTACGACGATAGTGTAAGTGTATGCTAGCTAGGAAAGCTCTTAATCCCGATAGGTGATTAGAGGGTATTCTTGATATTGCCTTGTATGAGTCGCTTGGTTTGCATGTAAACTTATTTCCCGGTGCCTAACTTCGTTGAATTCATAGCATGTTTGATCCTTCCCCCTAGCGCTTGTTTTAATTGTTATTTTATCCCCTTTAGTCATTACTTTACCCACCATATTTCTTGATTGAACTAGATTAACATTAGGAGATAAATAGCGGTGCTTAATCGTTTCCCTGTGTTCGACCCTTGACTTGCCTCTATACTCGTTTAGTTGCATGTTTAGGACTACAAATATCATTTGATAGAGGTGTCTTAGTAACGACCTAAAATACCGCTTGTCATAACTCTCCCAAGGGACACAAAAAACCCCGAAACATTTGGCGCCGTTTGTGGGAAGAGTACCTCTAAGACGGTTTCACAAGAGTCTGTACCGCCTCATAGTCAGAATCGGCCTACTGCCGAAGCTGAGGTCCACTCGGACCATGATAATGATGACTTTGAGGTCGAAACGTATGTGGCCGCAGATGTTACTTAAAACCAGACGCATCTGTCCCAAAGATATAAAGGAACGGGGCAATGATCAATCGGGTCTAGGCAAGTCATCCGGCCAGCCATCTGGTCAGCCCTAGGCAGCAGAGGAGACTGCCCCTGTTACTCGAGATGAGCTCATGAAACTCATGGCGAGTTTCAAGGGAGAGATCAAGGATCTAATCACCGAAAGGACGGCTGGTCCCAACAAG